ACGACCTTAACTACGCCGATGAACATTAAAGAAGATAGAGATTCTCAAGTATGTAGTCTTTTCTTTATCTCAAGCTTTTAACATTCCTTTATCTTTTTTCGTTTCCTCTTCTTCTTGATTCTTCATTGATGCGTATCTGTTGTTGTTTCTTGAATCAATTGTGATGTATAAAGTTGTTCGTTATTGAATTTGCAGGTGAGGAATCGATGATGATTGATGAAGTTGTTGCTGCAGTAGCGTGAAGTAAGAGGCGATGATGATGATGATGATGATGAAGACCGTAGAGAAAGATGAAGGTCGTTGATGATGTTTAAAGTGATAAAGCAAGGTGATGAAGATTTCAGAACAGAGCGACCTTGATTGAATGAGGGTAGTGAAGCTGATAATTATGCAGTTTCAAAGAGAACCAGAAGGTGAGTTTTCTGATTTTTTCTGTAGTTTTTTTTCTGGTTGAAGAACTGTTAATGAATCTGAATCCTTTTTCTTCTCCCTGTTTTCTGTTATGATATGGTTCTTTTTTTTTGGTTTAGGAAGTTAAAAGCTAGTTATAGGTTAGAAGTCTGTTATGCTGGCTAACTGCTAGTTCTGTTATGCTTCTGTTTAGAAACCATTGGGGAATTCTGTTTTTGTGGTTACGTAATTGGTTAGGTGTAGTTATGGACAGGGTTGTTAGGAATTTTGTTGGACTGTAAGTTAGTTAGAAACAGTTGAAGGATGAGAATTAGTTACAGTCTTGGCAATTAGGAGGTTAGCTACTGTTGGGAAAATTAACTGGGGATTTCTGTTAATAGGTTGTTTAGAAATTCTGTTTGGATGATTAGAAGTTAGTTATGAGAATGGTTAAAAACTGTTAAAGGGTTGTTTGGAATGGGCTGTTTAGAAGCAGGTTCGGGGTTGTTAAAAACTGTTTAGTTTTCTGTTGCTTTTCCTGTTATTTTGAGCTGGTTCATCATGAAAGCTTAACGGGAACCATTAACTGGTTTCTTTGAATCGTGGTTAGTTGATGCAACGGATGTTCATGACAAGGTTTGGTTTTCTTGATTATGCACGATGGTTCCCCTTTTTTTTATTCAACCTGTGATAAAATGAACTGGTTTTTTATTTATTTATATGGTGCAGGGCTCTATGAACTGATATGGAACATTTTGTGGACAAGCTTTGAATTGGTTTCGAGGAATTTAGACATAGAATGATCCGGTTTGCAGGGATGCACATGCAGAATGCTATTGTCTGTGATAAAAGAGTAGTATATGTGTTTGGTTGGCTGAACTGTTTTGGGTAATTGGTAGTGTATAGCTTGCAATTTGAAGAAGGTTTTAAAATTGAGAAGATGACATGAGAGGTTGAATATGGCGTGAAGAAATACCAAGGAAAAGCAGTTTATAGTTTGGATATTACGATTTTAGGCTTTGAACAAAAGTTTGTGTAATATTTTTTTTGTATGATGTTTAGACATGATGTCATGGTTTTGTAAATTGGATTTATGGTTTTTAAATGATAAACAGTGTAAAACTTGAATAGTGAATGTTGAACTTGGATTTTGAACTTTTATACTTGAAACTTGCAATTTCGTATTATGGTCACTTGAACGGTGAATGAAATTTGGGCTTGTGATCTTGAAATTTGAAATAGCCTTGAATAATTCTCAAGTGACCTCGTACATGAATGAGCTTGATATTTGCTCTAAATTTCAAATATCTCGTTTCTCAAGAAATCCTCATGAATCCTTTTCTAACCTTGCATGCTTGATAAATGAACTTTAATCCAATTTTTTTTAACAAAACTTAAATTCACATGAGATTTCTCTTGAAATAATTCAAAGCAAACTCCATGATCAGAATTCAAACTTCTTGAATGAATCCTAAAGCAAATGCCTTATATCATAAGCCATGAAGTGAGCCAAATCTTCAATTGATGACCATGAACCAAATGGTCCCTAATATCACCCTATGTCCTTTGTGAGAGAATGGATCCAATACCTTGATCCCCACTAATCTTATGTAACAAACAACAAGAGTACCAAACCGACTTGATTTTAATGAATTCATAATGACATCCTTATATCACGCCTTATCATCCCATGAACCTCCATTGAAGATGTTGATAAACCCAAGTACGATACGATATAAATCCTAATCTTCTACAAAAAGCTTTTAGATTTTGATCTCAAAGCATTGAAATGAAATCCTAAGAAAATAGATTATATCGCAAGTAAGCCAATCGACCAGATGAAGAGCTTTGCATTATAAGGCATACAAACCCTAATTCGTGAAAAAGGTCCAACTGAATCTTCTTATCTAGAATAGAGCTGTTTCCCACATGAATAGAGATTCAAGAAATGATTTCCTACTTATTTGCAAAAGATATATCAATTGAAACCCTGGTTATTCATGGACAATATCCCCCGATGATAGCCTTGCCTGATAATCACAACTTCACAGAGAAACCTCTCTTGAATGGTACATGATTTAGGGAAATAAACCCTAATCAAAGGATGACGTTGAGCACAAGGAGATAATGAATGCCTGATTTAGTAGCCCTTAGATGATCTTGTAGAACAACTTGGAAACGAACATGGGAATACAGAAAGAAATATGACCAAATGAACCTCGGTTGATGAAATGCTGACAAGCACAAACTTGGTGGAGAAAAACTCTGACTCTTGTCTTGAATGCATCTGAATGAGTAATAACCCCCCTTAACTTGAAGAGAATATAACCCTCAATAAGAATATTTTGCAACCCTAATTCCATATTTCACTGCTTGAAGGATAATCAGAAGAATCAGGCTTTATTGGATACGAACACCTTAACCGCTGTGAAACCCTAATATCGCACAACCACTGAACTTTGAACCTCAAGCTCTTCCGAATGCAAATGTATGTTAATGACCTAATGGAATATATACAGATGAATGCAAGAGTCTAAGACAGATAGAAGAAATTAGGAGGGCAAATTTTGGGGTGCAACATGAATGTTCCAAGTATTTTACTTGTTAGACTGGAAGATGGACTTCTGATGAAGATTTTTGTTTTGAAGAATTATCTCATGATGTGTTGGATGTTTTTATTCAAAGATATGTGTATCTACAATAAAAAAAATATTATCAACCATGAAGAAATAGGAGGTGGTTTATTTATGATGTTATGTCTTAAGAGAATGCAAGATTATTTACCATCTATGACTTACAATATGGGGTGACTATCTTATCCCTAAAAACTTGATCAAGTCTATTATGATAAGTTCATAACAGTTGGAGAGGTTTCTTCTAGTGGAAATATGATTGAAAGCCTAAGGAGGATGGAGTTTTCAAGCTATTACTAGCAAATAAAAAAAAACTCAAAGTGTTAGAAGGCTGTTTTTATCAGAAGGCAAGCTAAGTCAAGTATTTCAATCTTAGTGTCTCAACATTGTGCTAGACATCATAATACTCATGCTAGGAGCATATACTTGCACTGAGGATAAATCTTCTGTGAAAAGGATCTTAGCAGTTTTCTTTATTGTTCTCGACTTCCTCAAAGGTCAAAACCAGCTTAGGTTAACCAGGTAGTGGTTAATACTCAGGGAAGGTGATAATTGCCTTATCTCTCATACCTTTCTTAGAACTTCAACTAACATGATTGGTATTTTGGCACTAACTGTTCCAGACACTTGACTGCAGTAAAATTGTTTTTTTGGTTGTGTGTTTAGTCTCATTCTATCAAATGTTTCGTGTGTTGTTGATGATGAAAGGGAAGATTAAGGGCGTTGGATAACTACAAAATTCATGATGGATTCTCTAAGTTTTGGTAATTTCTCTTCTTACTGAAGGACGGATGGCTATTGTGTTCTCACTTAAGTCAGTTGTGTTATCAAGGTCTGAAGGTATATGTCATCAAGGAAGAACGTTTGTCCCTTATGAGATGTAAGAATTTCTTATGAGAATTAGCATATCCTAATTTTTGACCTAAGATCCCACCTTCCATCTGCATCATTGCATAACAAGTGTTCACGAGTGGTTTGACCTATTTTTTCTAATTCTCGAGTCAAATTTCGATATTTTTTAGCGGATATTTTAGCGTATGATTCTCCTTTACATCATCTACAACTTTTCATTACAAATCAAGAGTTGATTATGTTTAAAAAGCCACGAAAAAATAGAAAAAGCTAGAGGTCACTATGTGAATTTAGCAAAATTTGACTTAATTTCATTTGTGTTTTACCCGACTTTATCCAATCATGCATATCACACTTTTCTTCATCTTTTATTCATCACTCATTTTTTATTTTATAAAAAAAATCCTAAAAAATATTTAATTCATGTCATTTGATTCTATTTACAATTTAATTCAAAATATAAAAAAAAAGTAGTTTATTTTTCATGTAATTTATGTTTCTTTTAGAATTAATTCTGATTTGGTTTTAATTTTGATTCAAGTTGAATTATTATTAAAATAAAAATAAATTTTAATGTTTCTTTTAATTCTATTTTATATCTTAATTCAAACTTTTTCGTTGTTGTTACTAAGTCTCTTATTGTTATAATTATTATTGTTTTAATGTTACTAACAACTTTTTAATTTTTATTTTATTATTATTGTTATTAATTTGTTATTGTATTTTTGTCAATCTATAATATAAGAAAATTAATGATTTTGAAAAACTCATTTTTACTCTAATTATATTTTGACAAATCACATTTTTAAGGGTATTTGATGTCTAAAAATTATTTTTTCCAATCGATAATGTCACATTGTTCCATTACAACTACATGGTTAATAAATTAAGTCTTTTGGTTGTCATAATTGAACAAAATGCTGATGTGATGTAGTACTGTTTGGTTTCAAACCAACCAATCTAAACCTACTTTTTTTGATTTAACATTTACAAAAATCATCACATCACTTTTGAATTTCTAAATATTTTCTCTTTCTTCTTCTAAAAAACAATCTTCATCTCTGTCACTGATATCAACTAAGAGAAACAAAAGATAAACACCCAAAACAAGTTGAAAACAGAAAAATGGAAAGAGATGGAATCAGAATCTACCGGCAGAGGGATGTGATAAGTTGGTGGTCTGGAGGACTTATGGTACACCAGGTATTTGACAAAACTCCTATTTCTTCTTCTAAACCTATTTCTTTTTTTAAAATCTCGCCACTGACGTATTTGGTTCAAACGGTTTTAGGGTTTACATTTTTAGGTTTCCAAGTCTCGGTTCTTTGCATTATTGTCTCATATGAACAATCTTTGGGTTAAGTTACAACTTTAATGTTATCTTAATGAATGAATGATTTAACTGTGCACTTATCAATTGCAGTTGATCTTTGTGCTTGTGGAAACTGATTACGAAGATGTTAGAAAGCCTGTTTCAGAATACTTTGGTATTAGTGGGACTGCTCCAAAAGTAATTATTATGTCTTCCTTCATTAAGTTTTATTTAAATTATAAGTCATAATATTCATAAAATTTCCACATTGCATCATTTGAATCACTTGGAAATATATTTAAGTAATCTATGGAATTTTAAATGCAGGTACCTGCATACACCGGAAACAATGATATGCACTTAATCTTTGGGCTCTATTAAGATCCTCAAGTCCTCACATATCAAATTATTTGATTATTACAAGTTTTCCATGTTCTGTCACAAGTTTTCTTCTTAAAGTTTATTGTTCTGTTTGCCAGTAATTGATACATTTCTTAACGATTTAGAAATTGACGGAAAAACTACGAGTTGGTAAGCTCCTAAACTTGCATAGTTGTATCCTCAATATTTTGTAACAAACTAAGGAGTATTAATTCTATTGACAATACTTCTTTTTTTTCTTAAGGTTTCTGAGATAACACATGATTGGACAAATCAACCCTGCTAACCAAACCAGTGATTTAGCAGGTCCGTTTAAGCTGGTGAATAAATAATTGAAGTGGGATTTATTTACAATGAAAAAGGACTCTCAACCCTAAACCCTCACAACTCAAAAAAGGACTCTCAAAATTTCCATCCTCTTCTATATAACAGTGCTTCACCGCATAAGAAAAAGGAGGAGAAAATTAGGGTGAAAAATTTATAACCATAAACTACCCTTCATCATCAACCTCTCATTATCCTTCATAAAACAGAAAACAAAATCAGCATCCTAAGAGAAAAATACCAAAGCTGCACTTCACTTAGAACTTTCATCAAATACCTTGTAAACAAGGTGTATAACTTGTAGTCTTAGTAGCAACAATATCAAGATAAACACAGCTTCAGCATTACAACAACAATAAAGCCTTGCAATCAATAAACAAAAGAAGAGTGGAAGAAGGAGAAGTCGACACTGAATTGAAGTCGTGCAGTCCGCCATAAATTACTATAAAAAAAACTCCGATGTGCCGACAACCGCTGCTGCACCTTGTCACTACAACCGCCCTCAGTCGTTCGCACCATACTGCTCATCTAGTGTTGTATCCTACTGCTACATACAAAGTCGTTGTCTAATTCGCCATCTCCACCACCCCTTTGTCATTGCTGATTGGTATATATTTCCTTTTCTTCCAACCTCTTTGTAATGAGTGATGTATTTGCATAGTTATGTGTTTGATTTGAAGGTTTTTGATCATGAGAAAATTAAAAAAAAAAAAGAGTGATGTCTGAGATGAATGATTGTTATCGTTGTTTTATTCGTGATGAGAAATCGGTGAGTTGAGAGATTAAAGGGAAGCGCTGGAAAAACAAGAGACACTATCGAGGTTTAGAGTTTCGGAAACAAAAAAGTATCTTGCAGAGGAAGGTTGTGTTGGAGTAAAAAGTGTATTCATCCAAGTCGCATATGGATAATATGAATAACATAGAATTTAAGTATTAACATAAATAGAGATATTTAGTTTGAGTTTTCAACCCAACAACAAAATATAGTCTTTTGGGTGTATTGTGATTTTGGGTATTTGCGTGTCTAGAGAGGGTTTTCTATTTTTCTATTCAAAAATAGTTTGTTGAGAGGGTTTTCTATTTTTAAAGAGTTTGTGATTTTCTCCTTAAAAATTGCAATTATATGAGGGTTTGTAATTTTGTCATTGTAAAATTAGAGTGATATTAGATGCAAAAGCACGATGAGATGCAGACAGAAAATGTAATGAATCATAATTTGAAATTGGATAAATAACTTTGGATGTACCTAATGGTGATTTGACTGCTGATACATTAGATGTATTGCACACATAATTTGAGAGATAATGGGGTGTTTGTTTGGTTCTAACAGGTCTAGACTGAGTTTTGCAATTTTCAGTATCAGATATATGTTGAAGGTCATGGTTCTCATCAGTGTTTTCTACAGTTTCAGGGTCAGTGTTAGAGTGGTATAATGTGTCATTGGCTATGGTATTGTGATGGTCATGTTCTTCAACAATAGGTTCAATATTCTGAGATGGAACATGTTGAGGTGAGTCAATGAATTCTTTGTGAAGATGATAGTCCCAGTTAATAGAATTGGTATTTGAATAGGGAAATATGTGTTCATGGTGTATGACATTTCTAGAGACAAGAATGGTATGATTATTAAGATCATAGAGTAGCACACCCTTCATTCCATTCTTGTATCCTAAGAAAACACATTTGCGAGCTCTTGAATCAAGTTTTGATCTATGCACATTTAAGGTGGATGCAAAAGCTAAAGATCCAAACACTTTGAGACTATGCATATCTGGATGCTCATTATGGAGTATGAAATAAGGAGAAAGATTATTTAAGGTTTGGGTAAGGAGTTTATTTATAATGAAGGTGGCATGCAAAATAGCATATGACCAAAATTTCTTGGGAAGCTTGGACTGAAAGAGAAGGGCTCGTCCAACATTTAATAAATGTTGATGTTTCCTCTCCACTCTACCATTTTGTTGTGGAGATTCGACACAACTGGTCTGATGAATGATTCCCTTAGAAGCATAAAATTCAGGGATATGAAATTCAGCACCATTATCAGTTCTGGTAATTTTGACAGAAAACTGATGTTGATTTTCTATGAGACTGAACAAATTTTTGACATGCTGTCTAGCTTCAGACTTAGATTTCATTAAGGTTATCCATGTGAATCTGCTACAATCATCAACAACAGTTAAAAAATATGAATGACCATGCAAGGATTGGACAACAAGAGGTCCCCAAATATCAAAATGAATCAATTCATAAGGATGAGCAACTCTATTATTGCTAATAGTATAGGAAAGTTTTCTTTGTCTAGCATAACAACATACATCACAAACATCTTTATGGTTAAATGTGATGAATGGAAATTGGGAATGTAGGTACAAAAGTCTGTTATTGGATAAGTGTCCTAATCAAAAATGCCATAAGGCTTTTTCAGGTAAGGTGACTGTGGCTGCTATAACAGTTGAAGCATTATCTCTTAGTGTTAAGTAGTACAATCCATCCTTTTGCTCAACAGAACTAGTCATCCTCAGGGTGACTTTATCATGTATAAAACATTGTGAGTTGAGAAAACTGACATTGCAATTAGAAGATTCACAAAGTTTGGAAACAAATAAAAGATTTAAAGAAAACTCAGGAAGCAAAAAGACATTGTGCACAATGAAATTCGGGGGAAAATGAATTGTACCAGAATAGCTAGCAACAAGACATTGTCCATTTGGCAATCTAACACTGATTGAAATAATTTGCTTATATGAGTGAAACCATCTGATAGAACTACATATATGATCAGAAGCTCCTGAATCAATGATCCAAGAGCTATTACTACTACTATGCATGCAATGAGAGGTGTTACCTGTTGATAGATGACCTATAGCAACTTGATTAGAAGAAGCACATCCTGAAGATTGGCCAATGCTGGATTTCTAAATTAGCTCCATTAGAGTATTCCATTGGCCTTGAGTCATAGGTGAATTATCACTTTTGATGTCAACACCATTAGAAGAAGATCTATCATCATTGCCATCGGATGCAACATTGTTAGCTGAATTCTGAAACTGCTTCTGCATATGTGGTGGAACACCATGTTTCTTGAAGCAATTTTCAACAGTGTGATTATTCTTGCCACAGAAAGTGCAGACACAAGCTCCATGCCTAAATGTATTGTTTCTTGCACCATATTTCTTGGAATCAATAGCATTAATCAAAGTTTGGGACTCATCATTGGAAATAGGAAGCTGAAGTTGTCGCTCATGTTGAATAACCATGGAGAATATCTTATTCATATTTGGCAAAGGATCCATTAACAAAATTTGGGACTTAACAACAGCAAATTGATCATTCAAACCAGTCAAGAATCTGATAACTTGCATTAGTTGATGGTTGGATCTTGCACTGCACATAGCTTCACAAGAGCACTTGATGCGACATGTGCAAGTTGGTAAAGACAAATACAAATCTAATTCTTCCCAAAGAATTTTATGTTCAGAAAAGAAATCAGTAACCGATTTAGTTTCTTGCTTGAGGTTGTATATTTCTATGGTAGTGCTGAATCCCCAAAATGCTATAACAGATAGCGGGATGGCCGCCATTTAAAGACTAAAAAACAATTTCCAATTTTCAACTATATACATAAATACTTAAAAATAGAAATTATAACAACATAGATAGTAAAGTTTCAACAGGAAACATAAATTCCAACCGCATACATGTCCCATCAAAATGAATTCCCATTGAAATCAAATTATAAAAGTATTCTAAATGATTAAATCAAGTTCTAAACATAAACAAAATGAAAATTTAAAATCACATATGCTTCTGTCTCTTCACTTCTAAATTCCACCACATTAATTTTATCTTGTTCATCACTTATTCAAACTCTTGTTCTTCCACAAAAATCACAAATAAATGTTTTCTTGCTCTTGTATTTATAAGAGTTCTACTTGTTGGTGCACAAAGTTAATAAATGAAGAAAATGTAAGAGAGAATGATATTAAAGTTATGCAATGACGGCTATAGAGTTGTAAGGAAGAATGGTTGAACAATGATTGTTATTAATATTACTATTACAAATGTCAGTTACTACTAATCTATTTATACACCAAGTAAATTGCCACATAGGCCCTAATAAAAATCAACTTAATGACTAAGTTAAAAGTTACAAACTATAAAATACTAAACTTAACAGCTACACTAACAAACTCAACTACAGAATTCTAGAAGCTAAGCATATTTCAGGGCGTAACCTCATAAGCTTCTGCTTCTGAATAATAACAACTTCATAAATATATAAAACTACTGCTTCTAACTAAATAGTCTCGTAAGCTCAACTGTTTATGACTAACAACTTCATAAACGCAACTGCTTCTGAGCAACATTGCTTATGAGTAACAACATCATAAACTTTTGACTCTAACAAGAGTTTCTGAATATGAAATACTTTCCAACACCACTATAAACTAATATTAAGGTTGTCACAAATAGCTATAAAACAACCTTTGTTGTTTGAGGTTGGTGTTACACTTGTAGAGGGAGGGGGTGATGATACCTTGATTGTTATTAAAAGAGAAAAGAGCATGGCACACAAAACAGAAGAGAGTAGTAAAGAATAATAGGAAGCGTGGAGGTAGGGGAGGGGGGAAAATGGGGAAGAAACAAATGAAGACGACGAAGAACAATTGAGAATGGAGAAGAAGAGTGGAAAACAGGAAGGCAGGGGAGGAGAATAGAAAAAGCGGTGGAACTGAAGAAGAAAATACGTGGGGTTAAATATTAGGTAAGAAAAGGGTGAGAAAGGTCAATATACTCTTAAAATGCATTCTTGTCATCATCCAGACACTGTAGAGGGTTTATTTAACGCGCTAATTAAATATGTGTATTAGTTTTCAGCGATTAAACCCGAACGCAACATGTTTATTGTTATTCATTTTAAGTTCTATTGAGTTTATTTTATGTATTGTACAAAATATTATATGAACATCTCCACATTCATGGATGATGGGCCAACCCGATGATTCTACCTTACCATGAGCTACTTAGTACTAGATATAGTTATCGATGGTAATGACATTCTAAAAGTTAATACTGAGCATTTGAGAGACCTTAGGTTTTGATCTGGATTGGGCCTACACTCACCCTTCGAATGGGAAGCCCAAAAACAGAGCCCAAGTTAGGGACCGTTAGGCAACTCCCCACACGTTCGTTGGAGGACATGGCCCAAGATCCCACAACAGCCATCTTAAACTGCCCTCCAGGAATCACGGGTCCAACCCTATTCTCGCGGAGCAGTTGACCAGGGGGGAGTCCACTTGCTGGACTCCATACACATGTAAGCCTGGCAGTTCCTGTTATTGGGTCTCAACATGGCCCAATAATGGGGACCTTGGCCCAGCGCTGTGAGCTATAAATACTCTTTATCCTAAGAGGGTCAGGTATTCAACACTT